CCGCTGGTCCTGTCGCCGGGGACGGGGTCGCCGCTGTGGGGTGGCTTAGCCGGGACTGAGGGAGGGACGGGAGGGACGGCAGGCGCTGGGGAGCTTAACGGTGAGGTACGAGGAGTGGCAGGACTCTTCTCTCCGGGCCGCTAAATAGCTTGGAAAGTCTTCTTGGAAGGGTCCCCACGGGAGCTGTTAGGGTGACCTCCCTCTTCCTGAGCTCCCCAAAATAGGACAGTTGTCATCCAGTGGAAGGGAATCTTCCCTTCCCCTTTTGTTGTCGCTGTTTTTTCCAGCGGGAGGCAGAGCCGGATATTCCCATTGTCGCTCAGCTCCGCTCCCTCCCCGGCTTGCTTGGCTCCAATAGAAATCCCAAAAGCTAAATGGTACGGCTTGAAGACGTCTCCCTCGAGCAAGAAGATGCCGTAGCACAATGCTCTGGTGTTGTTTGGATATAATACATAATTAAAACCTTGCAGACTTTGGAAATCCGGGAAGGAAAAGAAAGAGAAAAAGCAAGCAGCCAAAATTTCGGTGGCTGGTAATTTACTCCTCCTGTTAGAGAAATGCTATAGCACTTCAGGCAGAAATGGTTTGAAATGTGGTATGAGCTCTGGGGGCCAGTCTTTGACTCGATCATGCCTTTCTTTTTAGCATGAGTCCCTCATGTTGTCTTCTGACTGCATTGACTTCTGTGATAAATAACTCTTTTACGTAGTAGAGAAAATGTTTCTTGAAGAGTTGCCCAGCCTGAAAACTAGCCTAGTCATTTAGCCGGCGATACAGTAGCATATTTTACACTTTTAAATTCTTATTTGTCTATGGATTTTTGCAAGACAAGGTGCCAGAGAGTATTGAATAAAATTAAGAAAAACCAAACCTGCTCGTCTTAAATATAAAAAGGGAAAGGTGGAAAGTAATTTACAGGTTTTCAATATATTTTACCTTTAACTCAAAACTAACTGATTTAAAAAATATTTTGTCCATAATTTCATTAAAAAACAAATTGGGTAATATTGTTCTGATTTATTGCACAGCTGCGAATGGAACAGATTTTAATAGATACTGGCATATTGTAAGAAGAGTTGCAGCACAGAAGTAAGCTAAGTTTAGCCTTTCATTGCTTAGTGTTGCTTTAGTGTTGGAGATATCCTTTGATTTTTATTTTTGTCTGTATTGTTAGTCATTCTTAGTATTTACTCGTTAAATAAATTGCCATTATGCTCTCTAGAAATAAAAAACAGTATACAATTGTTAAGCATTAACATTAAATGACAATTTGGTAATGATACTAAGTTACCCAGACCATAGGACCCTTTTGGTTCAGTCTTGCAGAGTTTAGTGGAGGTTGAAAGTGTTTAAAAGTCCGACTGGTTGATGTATTTCATTGTGCAGTCAATGATGTATTTGTTTCTTCCGCAATAGCATTTGGCTGCTTATTTGCAATTATGTAGCGGATTTAGTAGATCTCCTGTAGACGTAAGTTAAAATTAGTGTTTCTTAGCAGTTGGGGAAGAGAGGCCAGAGACTGATTTAGCAGGGGTGTAATCTTCCCTCTCACCAGATCCTCCTTGGTGAGGAACTTTGCACCACGTCTGTCTTAATGTTTCTTCCCCGATGGGTAGCGTTAAGCAGTGCGTAACAGTGCATATATCATTATAGCATTAAACAGCGCCTATAACTCTGCCAGATAAGGTGTAATAAACAGGAAAACCTTCAACACAGTCAGCATGGGCCAGCTGTTTGGTCGGGAGTGTATCTTGGAGCGGAGGGTGGGATCAGAAAGGTGGACAGCCTCCTGCACATGGGAGAAACTAATCTGGCACTGAAACAGAAATGTTTGTATGAAGATGAGAGTGAAAACCCAGGAGGTAATACGAGAAGAGACTGTTAATTCCATCTACTCAGCCTGTGGCAGTGTAACTGACAGGATGGCCAGGCAGAGACCAGTCTTGTGGTATTTGACCCCAAAGGCGATAGGCCATTTATTCATTGTACTGTGTTGCCGCAGCTGAGGTCAGCTAAAGCGTTTCAAGGTGGATTTTTATATTTTATAAAAGGGAAGGGGAAGTGATTGGATGTTCTCTGTGAAGGGTTTGACA